TATATATATATATATATATATATATATATATATACATTTTTTTTTTCTGTTTGGTTTACATATTACTACATCGCGATTGTGTTTGAATTTTTTTTAACACCGCATTTTTTTAAGACTTTCTCTTTTATCTGTGCACCTATGATATGTGATTTTCATAATAGACAACAAAATCTTTTATATTAACAAGATAATGTTTGTTAAAGAGTAACTTTCATGTACTCCATGAGCTTAACTTTATAAATATATATTGAAAATTAAATATATTCTATTTTGAGTAAATATTTTAATTGTTTAAATGGTAAGACACCAATAAATTTGTTGAAACCTTACTATATAAAATAATTTTATATAATCATTTAATCACAATCTATCTTAAATGATAAGTTTGTTAATTTTTACAATAATTATCTCAAAAATTATATCAATAATAATCTTTTATCAATTGATTGTGTAAAATCTTTTACACTGATAATGTGTGATTATTAAACTCATTTTTTAAAAGCAAATATATTAGTATATATTATTTGTTCTATAATTTATTATAAAAATTACTTAAAAGACTATACGTGATACATTATCATATTCATTATATTATTTGTTTTAAAAAAAAGTGTTTCTAATTTTTAAATTTTTTTTAATATACAAATAATAGTGAGTTACTTCTCAAAAAAAAAAAACTGTTTATTTTGTTAAAAAAATATATTTATAAAAAGGTTTAAAGGAAAGGACACGTTTAGTTTTTTTTCCTTTCCATTAATAAATGGGACAATAATAGAACTTAATTAATTAACTTTATAATTTATCAATTAATTGTATACGATTTCTTAAAAGTACAACTAGAATGAAATGTTCCTCTTTAAATTACCCATCTTGAAGTGCAATCAAATTAAACGATATTCATTAAATAATAATTAATATCATAATTAAAGAAATAACAAAAATACTTCTAAATTCTCCTATAAGCTAGCATGCTTTGTACGATAAATATTACTTTTTTTTCATTTCATTTTCTTTGAGATTTTAGCTAAAAAAAAAAAAATTACCTTATTTTAATTGTTGTTTCAGAATATCAGTAAGGTATTAAATTTTTCTATTTAATTTTAAATATTTAGTGTTCAAAAAATAAAGCAATAATATAAAAAGAGATAAAATTTAATTAATTAATATGATGAATAAAGAGTGTTTAAGAAAATTATACAATATTCTTTTCATTGCATAATAAGCATCATTCTAGTTTTTTTTTTACATAAATATAAAAATTAATAAACAGGTCAAAGAGAATAATAGATTTTACAAAATTAATCTTATTATTAAAATGTTCTTTTGTTAGAATCTATGAAAAAAAGTTAAAAAATATTGTTAGGATATAATTAGAAGAAAAAATTATTATATTAAAAATTAAAATAGCAATTATTTTGAAACTCTTTTTCTTGTTACATGACATTTATCTTAATATTAAAAAGTGATTATCATGAATTTTAAAATATTAATTATATTTCTTAACTTTTGTGTCAAAATTTAAGCGCCAAACAAAATGAAGGGAAGAGAATAAATATTTTTAAATTTTTAAAATATTAAATATATTATTAATCTTGTTGGTCTAACCAGTATTATGATTGATCTTCAAAGTCTTGAGTTTAAATTTTGAATTTGAAAAAATGATATTGGAAGGGATAACCTTAATACAGTTAAGGTGTCGAATAAGATTAGTTTTTGAAAAAGCTAATAGATATTCTTATCGATATCATGATAAAAAAAATATATATTTATTTTTTATTTGGTATTTTATTTATAAAGTATTTGGCAGGTTTATAGCAATATTTGTACAGACATACATGTCACAAATATTTTTAGCAAACGTATCCTTTTTGTATTACAATAAATGCCATTAGTTATTTCAATAAGTTGTTTCTATATTCGGTGATAGAGTTGGTTTAAAATGTAAAAAATAACCATTGTTTAAAACATTTTCTATATTTTCTTTTATGTACTAATAATATAATAGATAAGAGATGACATTCTTATAAGTATTGGACAAAGAATTCATGACAGATGATTCTTAGACAAGTATCACAATTTACTTAGTGATTAGTCAAAACTCAGCAATATTCAATTTGATCAAAAATTTTATTTTCCAGATTAAAAGTTAGCACCTCTCAGAAAATTTAACATCTAGTGTTAAGAATTTTTTTTAAGCAGGTATGCCCAAAAAACAAAAGGTAAGATTTTAAACAATTTCTTATATTAGTGTATATTTGGTAACCTATTCGGCACACATTTTTATGTTAAATTCAATGTCCAAACGTAGAAGCTACATGAGTGACAAGAGATTACGGATGGAAAAATGGGTTAGCTTAATCTCTTTAGGCCCAACCTGCTAATGACTTGCAAAAATGGGTTAGGATAGGCTAGCTTGTCAAATGAAAACGAGTTGGATGCCTTGATCTATCGCACCTAAGGGCGGATTGGTGGACTTGTCAATCAAAAAATAAAATAAAAAATAAAAAAAATAAAAGTTTGCATATTTTGAATTTCTTTTCTGATATATTTTTCTTAATATTTAAATAATCTACATAAATTAGTGTACCTAAATAATAAAATAAATATCAAATTATAACTTATTTAATTTAATTTATTGTGCAATAAATCTCAAATTTGTTATATAACAAAATAGATATGTAATTATAATATTTATAAGTTTTCTAATAGATTTGTTACATAACATATTTGCGGTACAAAAAATCATAAATTACAGACATAATAAATTTGAAGTGACTTAATTAAACTTATATAAAAAAGAATAAATAAACAAAAAAATTTATAAAAAAAAATAGGCAGATCGACGGGCCAATTATAGAGACGGGATAAGCGTTGCTAATCGATTGGAAATTTGGGTGAATAAGAATAATTATGATATTCATGCACTCAAAATTCAAAATGCGGTGGAATGAGTGGTAATAAAAGTATATATATATATATATATATATATATATATATATATATATATATATATATA